AATCTCAGTTGGGGTGGCAACCAACAGCCACGTCAATACCAACAGTCTTACCAATCAACTAGTGAGACTAAGAAACCATCTCTTGAAGACCAAATGTCACAGCTAGCTCAACATATGTCCGCTCTCTCTAATAGCACCAACAGTTTTGTCCAATCCACACAAACTAGCATTCAGAATCTCAGGGCATCAGTGGGGAATTTGGAGACTCAAGTTGGACAGCTTGCTACCATGTTTAATGAAAGAGAGAAAGGAAAGTTCCCGAGCCAATCTGAGCAAAATCCAAGAGGGATGGAGCATTGCAAAGTAATACGGACATTGAGAAGTGGCAAGAGCTATGACAACAGAGAAGTGGTGCACCATGAAGCCGAAGTGGAAGAAGAAGAGCTTACTGAAAGTGCACCGTTAGCTGCAAAGTCTCGGTCAGAGGCTATTTCTGTAATAGGTATTCCAGATCCTAGTGCAAGTGACAAAGTGCAATCTCAACCCAACTTTGATGCAAACAAGGAAAAAGGCCTTGGTAGTTTATTTGCACCTTCTGACAAGCCACCATACAAGCCACCTTTGCCATTTCCATAAAGGCAGCAACAACGTTCCAAGGATCAACAATGCATTGAATTCATGAAGACGTTGGCTAAGGTTCAAATTAATTTGCCTCTATTAGATGCTATTAAACAAATCCCATCATATGCCAAATTTCTGAAGGAGCTATGTTCTAAAAAGAAAAAGTTCTTGGAATACGAGAAGGTGATTTTATCTGAGCAATACAGCGTTGTCCTCTTACATAAGCTACCACCCAAGAAGAAAGATCCGGGGAGTTTCACTATCTCTTGTACTATTGGTAGTCTTGATTTTCATAAAGTATTGATTGATTTAGGAGCAAGTGTTAACCTTATGCCTTATTCTATTTTTCAAAAATTAGGTGAAGGAGAACTCAAGCCCACATCTGTGAGTCTTCAATTGGCAGATAGGTCCGTGACATATCCTTTGGGTATTCTGGAAGATGTGATTATTAAAGTGGATAAATTTTATCTTCCAGCTGATTTCATTGTACTTGACATGGAGGAAGACAAGGAAGTGCCTCTCATTTTAGGCCGACCATTCATGGCCACCGCCCGGACACTTATTGATGTGGAAGCAGGTAGTTTAACCTTAAGAGTGCAAGGAGAGTCAGTTGTATTCAAACTCTTTGAAGCTGTCAAGCGTCCTTTCGAACCTGAAGAGTGTTTTCGTGTTGATGTTTTGGATGGGATTGTGCATGCAAACTTTGCCTCACGATCATCTAACGATAAGCTATTAACTTGCCTCACCAACCATGATGCTACTTTATCTATGGAAGAAAATGTGGTGGACGTCATTGCTGCATTGGATAGTGCACCAATTCATAATCCAAGGTGGCGACATGTTTATGAAAGCCTTGGAGTACCTAAGCAGCCCCTTCTTCCTTCAAGTGAGCAAGCTCCGAAGTTAGAGCTCAAGCTACTACCGAGCCACCTCAAGTATGCTCATCTCGGGGTGAATGAGACCTTGCCTGTTATTATTACTGCTGATCTTAATGACACGGAGGAAGACAAATTACTAAGAGTTCTTCGCAAGTATCAAGATGTTCTGGGGTGGACACTTGCTGACATAAAGGGCACTAGTCCAGCTTTGTGCATGCATAGAATTTTTATGGAAGCTGGGACTAAACCAATTGTTGAAGCTCAAAGACGTCTAAATCCGATCATGAAGGAAGTTGTAAGAGTTGAGGTGATGAAGTTGCTTGATGCAGGTATTATTTATCCAATCTCGGATAGTAAATGGGTGAGCCCGACTCAAGTGGTTCCAAAGAAAGCTAGTATTTACTGTGGTGAAGAATGATAACAACGAGCTTGTGCCTACAAGGATGACCAGTGGATGGCGAATGTGTGTTGACTATAGAAGGCCCAATAACAGCACTAGAAATGATCATTTTCCGCTACCATTCATTAATCAGATGCTCGAGAGACTAGCTGGTCATTCTTTCTATTGTTTCTTAGATGATTATTCAGGGTACAACCAAATTCCAATTGCCCCAGAGGATCAAGAGAAGACAACGTTTACATGCCCTTTTGGTACATTTGCATACAGACGAATGCCATTTGGATTGTGCAATGCCCCTGCCACTTTCCAACGATGCATGATGAGTATTTTTTTTCTGGAATGGTTGAAAATATTGTTAAGGTTTTTATGGATGACTTTTCTGTTTTTGGTAATTCTTTCGATATATGTTTGGATAACTTGTCTTTGGTTTTGGAAAGATGCAGGGAGACTAATCTTGTGTTAAATTGGGAGACTAATCTTTGGTTTGGATAACTTGTCTTATGGTTAAGCATGGCATTGTGCTAGGACATCTAATTTCAAGCAAAGGAATAGAGGTCGACAAGGCAAAGATTGAGGTGATCGCCAAATTACCACCACCAACTTCTGTGAAGAATGTGAGATCTTTCTTGGGACATGCTGGTTTTTATCGAAGATTCATCAAGGATTTTTCCAAAATTAGTCGTCCTCTTTGTAATTTACTTGCTAAAGATGCTTGTTTTGATTTTAATGCAAATTGTCATGATGCTTTCAACAAATTGAAGGATTTTCTCACATCAGCCCAAATTATAACAACTCCAGATTGGACCCTTCCTTTTGAGCTCATGTGCGATGCTTCCGATTACGCTGTGGGTGCGGTCCTTGGTCAGCGACGTGACAAGCTCCCCCATGTTATATATTATGCCAGCCGCACTTTGAATGATGCTCAACTGAATTATGCCACTACAGAAAAGAATTACTTGCAGTGGTATTTGCTCTTGAAAAGGTTCGATCGTACTTAGTTGGTGCTAAAGTTATTGTGTATTCTGATCATTCTGCTCTCAAGTACTTACTGTCTGAAAAAGAGGCCAAACCACGATTGCTTCGATGGGTCCTTCTCTTGCAAGAGTTTGATTTGGAGATCCTAGATAAAAAGGGACGTGAGAATGTTGTGGCGGATCATCTCTCAAGATTAGTAAATGCAAGCACTGATGAGGCAGATTCATTGCCCCTGCAAGAGAGCTTTCCAGACGAGCAACTCATCAAGTACCATGGTATGCTGACATCGCAAATTATTTGGCATTTGGAGAAATACCATCAGAGTTCAGCTACCAACAAGGGAAGAAGTTCCTCTCCACTGTAAAACACTACTTTTGGGATGAGCCATACCTTTTCAAGCATTGCCAAGATCAAATCATTTGTCGGTGTGTCCCCTTAGAAGAACAAGAAAGCATTTTGAAGTTTGCTCACCACTATGCATGTGGTGGTCATTGATAGGATTAAAAGCACACCACAAAGTAGCACACAAATGTCCTATTGATTTTCCTTATTAACACTAAGATTTGTCAATTGTAGCATATGAAAATAAGGGTCTTTCCCACAGAAGATTGTTTTATCTAACTACCTAAAATGTCACAAAAACTGGGTTGCTGTCCCTACTGACCAGCCACCGAAAAATAATTATTAGACTGACTTATACATATCTAAAGTCTACGAAATTTTATATGTAGATACTAGACACACAAAGCTACACTCACAAAACGTTTTGGGATTTTTGAAGTTGATTTGCTATTTAAATTAAATCGAACAAAAACAGGATAGAAACAAATTTTAAGTAGTTCACAAATTAAGAAAAACGAGTTAGGGGTATTGCTATCCACCACCAAATAATCATGCAAACATGTTATGTTTCATTCAAATTTCTTTTATTTCCGGATGAAGATGCTCAAGTTGGCTCAATGTTAGAACTCAACCTATTACTCTTTCTTATGTAGTATGTTAAGAGAATGGCGTTTTCAACTTAACTTAGTCCCTAGCATGAAATCTAGAATGGCGTGTTCATAGATTTAACAAGTAGAAATCATTAAGAACGAAAAGAGTTTGAGTCATCACAAGGCATCGTAAGTACTGGCGTTGTCTTACTTATCCTAGAAATTGGTTCACATGTTAATCGCAATTAACAAGTACTACTTTAGAACATATGTAGGTCCTCATTCGACAAGGGCAGGCACACACATACTCATAGCATTAGAATCCTATATATGCTTACTACGTATGCATCCATAGAAAACAAATAAAGAATTCATCAATGAGACAAGTAGTGAACCAAGTTTCATCCATTCATAAAAATAATTTAACGAAATGTCATAACAAAATTGCAATCATATTCGGGGCTTCAAAACAGCCCCTAACCTCTAAAAAATTAGTTACACATAGTTCTCAAAATAAACCAAAAGAAAGACATGAGTTTGAGAAGATAAAACCGAGAGAAGAGAATGCCAAGATTTCCTCCTTCATTTCCTTCCTTTCTCAACGCAGCAGCCTTGCTTTTTTTTTTTCCTTCCTTTCCTTCCTTTTTTTTCTATCTTTTTTTCTCTAAAGAACTCTCCTTTGCTGCTGCAACCTGCAGCCTTTATACCCATGCTTGCTGCCCCATTTCTGCTCCATAACTCACCCCACTAACAGCCATTTAGTGATGACAATAAGTGAGAGGAAATTGTAAAACAATTGTAACTCTTTGGGCAACCTTTATGCCAATTACTCCCACTTAATCCTCATCTTTAATTCCATTTCATCTGATATTTGAGGAGATGTCAGCTGGCTTGTTCTTGGCTGCAAGTTTTATTGGATTTATTGCCTTCAATGCAGTTACAAACTGCACAGCGTCTTGGAAACCTTTCAGTGTTAAAACGGCCATAACTTCTCTAATTCATTCTGAGCTGTTCGCAACTTGCTTCCAAAGTCAGCTGACCTGCACAAGCAGTTTTGACGAATTTGTCACTTAATATCCAACTTGTGCTATTTTTCTTTTCTTTGCTTGACAAATCCTACTAAAACACAAAAACAAAGTAAATAGCTCAAAAATATAAGGAACTAACTAAGAAAAGACAAGTGAATTTGATGTAAAATATATATAAATATGAGCTTATCAAATACCCCCCCACTTAGCTTTTGCTAGTCCTTGAGCAAAATGAAGAAAATATGAAAAAGTAGCAACATGAAAAACAATAGCTTCCCCCTATGTGACCCTCATAAAATTTCATTCAAGAAAACAAATCATCAAGAACCTTAGCTAGCACCAAACAAGCTAATCCAAGCTCATCTTCCTTATTCAAATGTTAGCAGTAACCTTTTAATCATCCATGAAGTGTAGTGTGTGTAATAGCCATGCTAATGCAATTTCAAGTTTTTTTTAAAACACCACATGCTAACTAGTGATCTTCTCACGGGACATACACTCAATCACACATATGTTTAGTTTAACGTGTTTCGCTCAAAGAATCAAATGTGAAAGATCTACCATAAGCTTGCATAAAGATCTCATCTCCACAATCATAATTGCAAAACTTAAATCAAGAGGACTTTTATTGGTTGTAATGAGGCTTAGGGAGAGGGTTATAGAAATGAAGGGATAGGTAAACACAAGTTCCAAGCTACATTGCAAGCAATTCTCTTGTTGAGATTTATAAGAACTCAAGCTCTCCAACCATTCTACTAATACCTCCAACCACACCTCTAAACTGAAACTTAAAAAAAAAAAAACTTTTATTTGCTTTGTATACAATTTTTCTTTTCTTTTTCTTTTTCTTTTTTTTTTTGATCTAATTTTCGTACATAACTAAATACAAACATGAAATACCCCCACACTTATTCTTTTGCCAGACTCTTTCGAAGTACTTCACAAATATTTCTCATAAGACAATCTCACATTGCTCACTAGCTAGCTTGGAAAGGGTAAGGAAAAATGTTTAAGGTATAAGGGGAGACATATCTGGTAATAAGAAATAAAAGGCTCAACATATACGGCTCAAATTGGCAATCTAATGATATCATTTTTCTTTAGGAAACATGCTTATTTGGGCCATGGTGATAAACCTAATGCCTCTATCATTTTCAAGTTCATGCAATCAATGACAAACATTTCAAAAGATCGTTAAGCAAGTTCTAGAGATGTAATTCACATAAGTTCATCACACATGAAAGAATATGAGTGTATGAAAAATGCACACACTTTCAATAGGCTCAAAAACTCACATAGGTTGTATATGGTCACTATATTCACATGCGAAGTTTTAAGTCATACTTTAGTTTCACATCAACAAAGCTATGTGCATTTGGTTTTTCAAAGATGATTAAACATGTACAAGGCTAACAAGAGAATAAGGAATTTCACACAACACATGCTTACTAAATTCTTGATCACCATGGTTCAAATTCAATCCAATTATATCATTGGGTCGGGAAACTAACAAAAATCTACTTCAAAATGATAAAGAAAATAAGGCAATATTTTTTTGGATTTTCACATTTTCTGAATGTCTTTTTTTTTTTGGTTTTTTTTTAAAGAAAACAAATCAATCCAGTTCTTAGTCGAAGGTACGAAAATTTTCAATTTGGTCATTTTTTCAATCATTACCCCCAAACCTAAACTGGACATTGTCCCCAATGTCAAAAAAAAACACATTAATGCATAAAATAAAATAAACAGAAACAAAATAAAGCATTTGGACTGAAAACTTCCCAAATTTGTAGTAAAATCAAGTGATGACCCCCAAACTGCAATTCTGCAATAAACTCCAAAGGTGGACATAACCATAGGTTCCTACAAACAAAAAATAATAATTCAGTTCAACATGCAAGAAAATTAAGAAAAGAAAATGAAAAATGGAAAATGACAAAAAAAGACAATGGAAAGAAATATTAGGTTGCCTCCCAATAAGCGCTTGCTTTTACGTCCGCAGCCGGACGGTACCAAGAGTAATCATCCAAGGGGAGATGGTTCTTGGAGGGGTACAACCTCCACATCATGCTCCGCAAAAGACTCATAATATGGCTTGAGTCTATGTCCATTCACTTTGAACATGTTTCCGGTCTTTGCACTTTGGATTTCCACTGCACCATGAGGAAAAATATTAGTTATAACAAATGGACCAACCCATCGAGAACGAAGTTTACTTGGAAATAACCGAAGGCGAGAATTAAATAGAAGAACTTTTTGTCCAATGGAAAAGCTCTTCCTTGATATCATCTTGTCATGAAATGCCTTTGATTTCTCCTTGTATATTCGACTAGACTCGTATGCATCATTCCGGATTTCGTCTAACTCATTCAATTGAAGCTTCCTCTGTTGTCCAGCAACACTCATGTCCATGTTGTAGGCTTTGATCGCCCAATAAGCTTTGTTCTCTAACTCTATTGGAAGATGGCATGGTTTCCCATAAACTAACCGAAATGGGGACATTCCAATAAGAGTCTTATAAGCAGTCCTATAAGCCCACAATGCATCATTCAAGCGCGTGCTCCAATCTTTCCTACTAAGACTCACAGTTTTCTCCAAAACTTGTTTCACCTCACGGTTTGATATTTCTGCTTGACCACTAGTTTGTGGATGATAAGGTGTAGACACCTTATGTGTGACATTGTACTTCCTAAGCAACGCTTCAAATGTTCGATTGCAAAAATGACTCCCTCAATCGCTAATGATTGCTCTAGGTATCCAAATCTTGCAAAGATGTTACCCTTAATAAAATCTGTTCGTTGACAACGATCACATGTTGCACAAAACTCGTGCGCATCCTTAAACAAACTAGGCCAATAAAAACCACTCTCTAACACCTTCAGGGCTATCCTCTTTGCTCCAAAATGGCCACCACATGCATAAGAATGACAAAAAGTTAGAATAGATTTAAACTCAGATTCGGGGACACACCTTCTAATCAATTGATCAGTGCAATATTTCCACAAATAAGGATCATCCCACTCGTAGTATTTGGCGGTTTTGACAAGCTTATCTTTTTGAGCACGTGTAAAATCATCCGGAATCTTTTTGATGACCTTATAATTGATAATATCTGCATACCAAGGGTTAGTAATCTTTAATGAAAACAGTTGCTCATTCGGAAAACTTTCACGTAAAGGGATGAGATCTTCCTCTGTGTTTGAATGCACAAGTCGGCTAAGATGATCTGCTACAACATTCTCACTCCCTTTCTTATCCTTGATCTCCAAGTCAAACTCTTGAAGCAGAAGTATCCATCGAATGAGTCGTGGTTTTGCATCTTTTTTTGTGAGTAGATACTTCAAAGCTGCATGGTCAGAAAACACAATAACTTTAGTCCCAATCAGATAAGATCTAAATTTTTC